AACTCACACAAACATAATGGTCAACAAAAGAAGTCAGACATAAAAGAGTATATGCTGTATACTTCCATTTATCTCAAAAGTCAAAAATCTTGCAAACCTGACCTGTAGTACCAGGAGCTGGGACTTTACCTTTGGGGGTCATAACTGGAAGGGAGCCTGAGGGGCTTCTGGTGCTGGTACTGTTGCTTCCTGCCCTGGCTGCCAGTTACGCAGCTGTGTTTGGTTTGCACAAATTCGTTATTTATGACGGGTGCACTTTTCTGCATAAAAGCTTTAAAAAGCAAAACAAAACAGGGGCATCCTCTTGCTCATCAAACAGCCCCCCTCTCTCTCTCTGAGAATGGTCTCAACTTTAGTTGCCCAAGTCAGAAGCATGGGGGCTATTCCCCACTGTCCCCTCTCCTGGTCACGCAGCTCCTGTCCATTCCCAAACACTACTGCTCCGCCTCCTCGCTGTCTCTCAAACCCATCTGCTTCTCCCCACCTCACCACCTCCTCCTTACCCTGGACCCAACTGCCCTCTTGCTTGGACTCCTTCGGTAGCCTCCTGGCTGTTCCCCCAGCTTCTAATCTTGTCCTCTCTGATTCATCCCCACACAGCAGCCAGAAGGACCCTTCTAGAACCAACATCCAATCATGTCTCTCCCCTGATTAAAATCTTCCAGTGGTTCCCTGTAGCCGCTAGGTAAAGCCCATTCTTCTGCTCTGGGGTTCAAAGGGCTCTGTGCTCTGGGTCTCTGGCTCCACTCCAGCTTTACCTTTAGCCATCCATCCCCCAATGCTGTGTCCCAGGCAGTCCCATGAGCCTTTGCAAAGACTTTTTCCAGAATTCCCTCCTTCCCCTTATCCTTGCTCTTTCTGGCTGAATCTCACACATCCTTCAGGTCTCAGTCCAGATATCCTCCTGTCTCCATGTCACCATGTCACAGCAGAGTATGCCACACCTGTCCCAGTACATGTCACATGACAGTGAAGCTGGCTGCTTTTGTGTCCACGCCCCCTGCTGGACCTTGGGCTCCATGGAAAGGGCATTGTGTCTGTCTTGTTCATCACTCCATCCCCAGCACCAAGTATGGTAGAGGCTCAGGAGGGATTTATTGGATGGATGAAGGACTCCAGGAGACATCCAGTTTGCCGAGGGCTGGAGGTCTGGGGTATATGTCCAGGGGAGTTGGTGAGAAGGTAAAGGCGAGTTTCCCCTTGAGTGACAAGAGTCCGAGAATTTAGAATCAGAGTTTGAAGGGACCTCAGAGGCCATCTAACCATCCACTTTTTGAAAAAGATTTATTTATTTATCTATTTGAGAGAGAGAGAGTGCAGGTGCAGGGGGAAGGGCAGAGGGAGAAGGAGAGAGGAAGCCGACTCCCCGTGAGTTTGGAGCTGGACATGGGGTTCGATCTCAAGACCCCAGGATCATGACCTGAGCTGAAATCAGGAGTCGGACCCTCAACCAACTGAGCCACCCAGGCGCCCCATAATAGTCCACTTTTTAATTTACAAATGACAAACCTAAGAGAAGGAGCCACTGGCTGGACGAGGATGGGTGGGAGGGGGGAGGTGGCAGCTGCAGAGTAAGGCAATGTGACGATGAAAAGTGGATATTTAGTGCTGATAGGGCTCCTAAAATCAGTGAAGAGAATATTCCTTCTGGGTATGATGGTGGGGGCTTTGCTTGGAGCTGCCTTCCACGGTCTCTCCCCAGTGGAGCGGGACTCTGGCCCCTAATACCGACCACTAGATGGCGTCAGCTCCCCAGGCAAAAGAGAGAGCGCGGGCCGGTCCGCTCACCCTCTGTCTCAAACCTTCTTCCTGAGTTCCTCCCCTTGCACCTGGCTCTCTGTGAGCTCTGTGAGCCCAGTTGCCGTGGCCTTGCTCAGAGCCTGCTTCAACAGTCTACCTTTTCTCATGCCCAGGACGATGGACTTGGACCTGGGCATTGGCCAGCCCTGCTCCTCTGTCCTGCCAGCCTCCCAGAGGCCCCTAACAGACTGCTGTGCAGCATCCTTCCACCAGGGGCGGGACTCTGGCCTGGCTGGCACCTGCTCATCTTGCTGGCCCAGATGAGGTGCAGGAGGTGGCACTGGTCCCGCATCTTCCGGCAACCTCGCCACCGAGTGCCCATGCCACAGCGGGTGGCTCCAGTCCTGCTGGCCTGATGGGCCCCTTTGAGGCCACACACGGCCCCATCCGGGAAGCTACTGCTGCTTCCACCCTGGGAGGAGGTCGCTTGATGCGGTGCCGGCTCCATGCCTCCCCTTTCTCTCATTCTGCAAGCACACTCAGCCAAGATGATTCAGTCCCTCTCCAGGACTAGAGAGTCTCAGTTATTCATTCAACAAGCATCTGTTGAAGACTGAGGTTGTGTGTATCGGGACTTGCTCTAAGGTACCTGGAAGGTAGTAGTGAAGTGCAAGATACAGTCCCCGGAGTCTTGGAGCACCGAGTGCAATGGAGGACCAGAGGCTAACCTCACATTACCCAACAATTGTTGAATTGCTCACTTAAGTCTTCAGTGTGCAGTTTTGTCCACTTCTTTCAGACGTTCAGAGCAGAATGAAGCACAGAAACTATGCTAATGTAGCGCACCACCAACACCACCTTTTCAGGATTCCAGGATTCCGGACTCCCAGTCCAGTGCTCAGTCACTGAACTCAGGAGCTGCAGGTTGGGGCGGGGGCAAGGAGAGAAAGGAGTGAGGCTTCTGCGAGGACCTCATGAGGAAGGTAGATGGACTCCCTGCCATTTCTGAATCACCTGGCCCTCCTTGCCTCGGTGGTGAATGAATGAATGAACCCCGGAGAAGGGGGCTTGCCATATGCTGTTCCTTCTCTGTGGGGAGCTGGGGGCTCCTAAGCAGGCCATGCCGGCCTCCCCCGCTCCCATCCTGGGAGGGGAGCCGGCCGGGCCAGTGCCCTCGCTGCCCCCAACGCCTAGGGCTTTCTAGGCGCCCTCTTGGCAACAGAACAGAGGGCATCCCGAGCAGGTGGCAACTCGCCCCGCCACGGGCTCAGAGCGGCGGGCGATAGGCGCTGGGGGGACGCGGAGATAGACAGACAGATAGCGCTCCCCTCGCCCGGCCCCCGCCCCCACCTTTCCCACGCTGCGGCCTCCCCGGAGCCGCTCAGACCTGGCGGCCACCTCGGCCCGGGGACCGGGACCCTCTGCCTCCGCCAACTGCAGCTCCCAAAGCCCTGGGAGCCCCTGGCAGCCTGCCTGCGGAGTCTAACTTGGGAAAGAGTCACAGAACCCCCTGCACACTTCTCTGCCTGGCGGAGGAGTCTTACGCGGGAAACCCCTCCCCCGGGCTTGGCGAGACTTGGGGAGGCGGCAGAGCCCAGAAATGGCCACAAGGTGGCGCGCTGGCACTGCGTGTCCTGGGTCGCCTTAGCCCTGCCAGGCAGCCGAAGGGGACGGCAGAATTGACAGGGCTGCCCTGTGTGAAGGTCGTACGAGGCCAGGGACTGAGATTTAGAGGAGCTCCCCCTCCCCCAAAAGGAAGGCGGAGAGCAGAACTGGGGTGGAATGGAGAAATGCTGTAGGCGTTCAGAACAACTTGGATGAGAATAAAAATAAATAAATAAATAAATAAATAAATAAATAAATAAATAAATAAATAAAAGAACAACTTGGATGATTTTGCAGGCCAGATAGGACTTAGAAGCCGCCAGTCCGCAGGAAAGGGGGCTTCTTCAGGGCCTTCTCGGCCTGAAGCACTCAATGGAGCATCATGGTTCCCAGCTCCTGGAGACTGGGAAGGTGCTAAGAGTTTTATACACATCTGCATGCAACTACCCATTCACACACAGACACCCCCTCCCATGGCCCTCCACTCACACTGCTTATGCGCCCATGCCCGTGCCCCCGCGTGCACACACACACACACACTCCTGCACTTTTGTCCATCTCTGTATACTGTGGACCACATGAAAAACCCTTACACCACACACCCCAAGTACACCCGTCCCATATACCTGATCTCTAAAAATGCCCCCATTCCCCCAGTGTTGTCCCCAGTGCAGAGAGTCTGCCCCCAAACTTACTGAGGCACACAGAGAGCCAGGCTGTGTCCCACCCAGCCTCATGGGGACCCCAGGTCCCCTGCTCCCTCCAGCAAGCCTGGACAATCTCTGAAACTGCATCACGGGACAGGTTATGCTCCTCCACCATCTGCATAAGCCCCTAAATCCACACACACCTGCCCCCCCCCCGCCTCTCCAACAGGACCCTCTTGGCCCCCTTCTGACTTTCACAGTCCCAAGGCACTTTGTCCTGATGGGCCCCTTTCTCTGTAAAGACATTCAAGATTACATTTTATGACTGCATTGCAGTAAATAATATCAATATCATATAACCAAACATTTTCTTCAATCAAATGTCTTTCCCTTTTCTTCTGATTGTAAAAGAAATTAAAATATTTTCACAAGCCCTGGGTCCTTCCCACTCTGGGCACATCTGTCTGCCTGTCATTTGCATAGTGTATGCACACACACACCACCTTGGACCACCTCCCTTCACAAACACCCAATGGGCAAATTCCCCTGCTTCCCCATCGCACCTGAGCCCACCTCCCAGCCGCAGCCAGGGAGACAGACTGACTGACAAATCCTGGCGGCCGGGCAGAGAACCCTCCCCCCACTCCTTCCTTCAGAGACACTGGGGGGTTATCTGAGCTGGTGGTGGGAGCCACAGGAGGAGTAACAAGGGGTGTGTGTGTGTGCGTGTGTGTGTGTGTGTTTTGGGTAACAACAAAGATTGGGGGGAGAGAGAAGAGAAAGAGAGAGAGAGAACGAAAGAGCGCAAGAGCATGTTTTGCCTCGAAGGCAAGACTTGCAGCCAATCAGAGCGCTGGAGCCTCCCTCCGCGACTCCACTATTGAGTCTATAACCCGCTGGCCGGGCGGAGCTGGCGGCATTTGACTGTGGCTTGGGACGCGACGAGAGGCGCGCAGCGACCGCCGGAAGGCCGGCGATGGTCTAGGCGCCCCTCGGCCTCCCCTCCCCCGAGACCCTGCGGGCCCTCCCCTCGGCCTCCGGGCGCACGCCCCCGCCTCGTCTCCTGCGCCTCCTCCGCGCTCCTGCCCGCTTCGGCTCGGCGGCCCAGGCCAGCCCCGAGACGCGCGGCGCCCGCCAGGATGAGTGGCTCCTTCGATCGCAAGCTCAGCAGCATCCTCACCGACATCTCCAGCTCGCTGGGCTGCCATGCGGGCTCCAAGGACTCGCCCACCCTGCCCGAGTCTTCTGTCACCGATCTGGGCTACTACAGCGCTCCCCAGCACGACTACTACTCGGGCCAGCCCTACGGCCAGACCGTGAACCCCTACACCTACCATCACCAGTTCAATCTCAACGGGCTTGCGGGCACCGGCGCTTACTCGCCCAAGTCGGAATATACCTACGGAGCCTCCTACCGGCAGTACGGGGCGTACCGGGAGCAGCCGCTGCCCGCCCAGGATCCAGGTGAGAGCTTCGAGGGTTCCCCTAGGGAGAGGAAGGCGGGGAACTGAAGCCCAAATCTAGGGAAGCGTCGAGGGCAAAAAAAAAAAAAAAAAAAAAAAGGTGCTGTCTAAAGTTAGACAGGGTGGGCTAGCTGAGCCCGAGAGGGGACAGATGACCTTTCAGTCCCTTCGCTGTGCTCCCCAGGTCTCGGTGAAGATGGGGCCAGCTAGGGGAGGAAGGAGAAGAGGGGTGTCAGGGGACCTCCGAATCGAGGTGCTTTCGCGGGCACATCAGGTGGCAGGGGCTTGGGGTTAGGCAGCGGCGACTGGAAGCTCCAGGAACCCTTTGGATATGGGTCGGGGAGAGGGGGGAATGGTAAGGGGGACATGGAGAAAGACAGACACACAGATACACAGACAGACACACACACACACCGGGAAAGCAGAGACCGAGAAGTGGAAAAGTGAAAAAAAGAGAAAGGTGGAGAAAGAGCAAAAGAGAAATGTGGGGAGACAAAGTGAGAGAAAAGAACAGAGGGAAGGCCAAGAAAAAAAGAGAAGGAAGGAAGGAAGGGGGAGTCTGTACTATGCTTGCAACTTTTCTGAGAATCTAAAACGATTCCAAAATAAAAAAAGTTTAAAAAAAAAGAAAAAGGAAGGAGGGGAGAACGGAGGGAAAGAGCGAGAGAGGTGACCGAGGGCAAGGTGGGGCGAGAAGGGGGCGGCCCGCAGGCGGGTGGCGGGGAGCCGCGAGGCTGGGAGGCGAGCCGGGAAGGCGTCGGAGCGAAGCCTCGGCGGTCCTCGCCCGGGTGGCGGGCGCCGGGGACGGCGCTCTGGGGGC